ACTCACCTTTAGCTGTTCTATCACTGCAGAGGTAGTAATCAAGTGACAGTTGCCTTAACCCATGATTTAACTATGGTTGGTTAACTAGCCAGGTTTATGCATAAACTAAGCCATAAACCATAGTTTACAAATGTTTACTCACCATGCTTAGTAAGGCAATCCTGTTTAGATCATATCAAGCCAGATAATCCAGTAGTACAACTTGGGAGCAGACAGCTCTTATGTCTTTTATATTTCCTATTTACTTCATCCAGGAAATAGCAAGTTGGTGAGAAAGAAAGCAAATAGTAAGCCATTATTAAGGATACAGTATTAATTTCTTTCAGTACATCTCCATACTGCCTTTCTTCCATTAGAAAACTCAAGGGAATATAAACAGGGCCCCAGGAGGTTTTCCTTCTATATCCCCTGGACCCAAACCTTGGACAAAGTAAATGTCCTTTGATCAAGGTTTGCATTAATCAAAGGTGTGTGCATGCATCCATATGTGAATTGGGAAGGTGCTGTCTGAGGGAATATTTATTATGGCCCTCCTTAGTAAGTGCATCTAGTTAGATCCTGCTGCATTCCCCAGCCACCAAGGAGGCTCTCCATCCAAAGAAGAGGTTTGATCAGAAATATTCTTGGCTTTCAACACATCCTTGCATGAAGAGGTGCCAATTCTCTGAGCACTAGGATATATCTATGCATAACAGGAGAAGCTTCAACCAAGCAACTAAACAATAAGGACTTGCTGTCTAACATTTACTGATTCCACCTATCTTGAAACTGGTCCCAGATGCTCCCTTGTTCAGCAGTTATCATTTAGCTGGATGAGCAATAGGCTGCTTTATTTATGGCTACAGCACTGGCCACACTAAGAGCATCTTCTAGGTCTCCCACCTCCCCTTCCTTATAGAGCTGCCCATGTAAAAAACGAAGGCCTTTCCAGGCAGAACCTAATTGGAATGTCTCCTTTTTATACAAATCTGCCTGCATGGAGGAAGTAACATCATTCATTGTGCAATCCGTTCTGAGCTATTCTCAGATGCCCTTATCAGAAACCAACCACCAGTGGTGTCTACTTAGACGTGCCTAAGTTTAGAGTAGTTGTAGGAGTGCACACCCTCTAAAGAAGGGATGAGCAGGCTGTTCAGCTGTTCTTAAAAGTTAATTTAATTCAGTGTGAAGGTTCTACTCCCTCTATTAGCCAAAATGGCATTATCATCATAGAGAAGCACTTTAAAAAGGGCAAAATACTTTTCTCATCCTTGTTAAGTCAATCTGTGTGAATTTTTACCTGCATTGCACAGGCACTTTCCTATCTTAGTGCAATCCTGGCTGTTTTCAAAACTGGCAAAGAGCCAGCTGACCAAACAAAGCCTTGTCAACATTGGGCTGTTTGCTACCAGTTAAAATCACTGCTTGGATTATATTGCTAAGCTACGTAAAAGAAACGAGAACCAAAGCCTACTGCATTTTGAACGAATACCAGTATATCAGCCACAGCTCTTTAGAAAATCAGCTGAAAGAGCTGCACTTGATTCAGACCACTTTTACTAACCACTGAAGGATCACATACCTCGGAGCAAGACATTTAGATGGGAACACAATTCACCATAAAGCCATATAAATCTATAAGCACAGTTTTGTTGGCCCAATTATTTCATTGCCTGAGCTACATGGAAATGGCTCTAGACTTGGGCCAAAGATGCTAGGCACCAGTTGTCATATTAGTGCCCCATGTCACTTGATCATTCATCATAAGCAACAACCAGATCCTTGTAGGGCCACTAATTCATACTGCGAGAATTTCCAAGAGACATTAGGAAACCAAGTGCCCTTATTAGCCATCAGGAGCAAACTATTTCAAGTCTGCAGATTCTTCCTATTTCCTGCTCTCCAAAACCCAAAAGTAGAGATTCTTGCCATTATAAACATGTTTCTGTTCAAATATTTAACGGTGCAATTCTTATATGTCTATTCTGATGTAAATCCCACTGAATTCAGTGAGGCTTTCTCCAGGATCAGAGAGAGTGCTCATTTTAATATAAAAACACTCACCTATGGATAATAGACAACTGCATATATGGAGTTTTCTCCAAGCTAAGCGAAGTTTGCAGGATTCATATGACCTTTTGTAGTGATTAACATTGAACTGCAGCTTATTCACCTCCTGATCATCTGGAGAGTTTTAGCTAATCACAAAGTGATGTCCTCTACATTCAATGTAGCCAGGAAATGACCCTCAAGACTTACAGACTTTCCCATCTTATTTAATGCAAGGATGTGCAGACTTTTCCAATGTACTTTCTTAAATATCTCACAGAGCTTAGTGCTTACAAACAGAACGATCCTAAGCATGTTTCCTAAGATCCCCAACGTAGTGGATTTAGTAGACCCGAGTTAAGATTGGGAGCTAAACGTAAGTAGAAAAGAGTTACTGCTTGGAATGGTCCCCTATGATGAATATAAAGAAAATCAGGCCTATCATAGCTGAAATGTAAACATCAGATAACCACTAGAAAACAACAAAGAGATTCTGGGAATATCAGGATCATCAAGGAAAATTATCAAGGAAAATCAAAATCTTAGGAGGCAGGAGATATTCGCCTTGGTTTTGTGACTGAATGGAAGAGACTCCATTACAAGGTTAATTACATACACAATATCTCTGTTCCACAACATGCTAGAAGATACTGACTGGAAAGATGCAAACTGGTTTTTGTTTTGTTTTGCACAATGAGCTAGAAATACAGCTGTCTGGTATTTGGCTCCCTCTTGTGTTTTTTCTCTTTACGACATGTACAACAGCCCAGCGGTCAATCCTTGGGTTTGTCTGCTAGGTAGTCATTTTCTCACTTCTAAAAGTCTTTCATAAACCTTACATAAGAAAACTAGGGTCAATAAATATTGTATGAATGATCAGTACTGTATTCTAGTAACAAGAAGGCAAAGGCGCATCTTGAGCTGAGTTCAACTCCCGGTAAGTACACAATCACAACTGTATTCTTATCCTGGTAACTATGGAGTGAGCAACGACGTTCACAACTAGACTCATACAATGTGTTAATCATTACTGGTTTAAGCATGGTTAGTTGAACAAGCTATGACAGCTGAGCTCATACCACAATAACCTATTACATGTAGTTGAATTCATATAGCACATGAAGCCAAAACCAAACATTATGGTTTAGTGTGATACACAGACTTAATGAAAGAGCATCACAGCCCATGTTACTACAATGCCTTTATTCTCTTGGCAATAAGTTCCCTGGACTAGCTGTTCATTATAGTAGCAACTTTTCAAGAGACAGCCTACACAATCAGATAGAGTATTTTAAAATTGTTTCACTCAGTGTCTTGGGTTACACAGTATATTGCCATATAATATGGCTGTTTTTGCTCAGCAATTGTTTTGGACCCAACCAAATGTCAATTAACCATGGTTAAACAATCCATGGCTTAGTGCAATGTGTGAATCCAGTCAACAAATAGGGGATTTAGCCAAAATTATTTCAGCCACAGATTCCCTGATAGCAGCGTACTGATCCAATCAAGTTTTCCATATTTTTTCCTCCAGAGATAATTTTCAGACATATTAACCAGCAAATCTAATATTATGGGAAGACACAAGGGAATAAACTGCCAGCTAGTAAATTGGAATTATAATCTTTTCTTGAAATATCAGCATACCTACAAACTATTCCTCCCATTTGTTCCTTGGCTCTGGACTTTTTGATTCTGTGGCATTCATTAGTTATATCTCAGGCCAACAGAGAATATTCCTATTTTATTTCCTTGCATTTGTTCCTTTGGAAAACTGAAGTATGTACTGTGAGCCCACAAGATTCTACTCCAGCAATTTTTCATTTGCCTGCAACTGGAGCCAAATGAACTCCTTCTTGGAGCCAACTCACACATGTATCCCTATCACTCATCATTAGTTAATACTTCAAGAGCCTAACTCTCAGATCAGTAACAAATTTTGCTGGGAAAATACTAATTGCCAAAGAGAACAAGATGGCTATTTCATTTTAAAAAGTTGTATGCCAACTTTCAAAACAGTGTTTTCCCAGGGCAGCTTACAAAATACTAATCCAGCACTCGAACAACCTTTCATCATACTCTCCTTCGGTAGTTCTTTAATCTTTGGAAAAGCGATTCAGATGGGATGAAGTGAAACCCCCTCCCAATACTTTAAGAGCAGCCAAGAATTTGCTTTTAAGATTTTCACTTGTTCTTTCACCCCAACCATGCCCCTTAAGACAAAGCAGGTTTCACAATATATAATAGGAATTTTAAGATAATTTTTGTATTAAACTAATCAACAGAAGATACCTTAAAGAATCAATACAATCTCAACAATAAAGTAATATAACATGGATCAGGATGAAAGAACATAAGAGACCTTCAGCTCAGGCTGATCTACTGCCACCCAAGTATTTTTAGTTGAAGCACTGCTTTAAACACATCTTTATTGTGCTCTTGCCCCTTATCTCCAATTCTTGGTCATTTGTTTTATGACCACCATTTTCCTCCATTACCATGTCAAGTGAATGACTGTCTAGCAAAAATGTCCTATCAGTAAAAAACATTTGGGGGTAAAAGAACCAGAGTCTTATGATAGTCCAATTCTAAGATCTCCAGTATGGTACCCAGGGTGGCACTTGGCTGGCAGAGCTTCCCTTGTGCACATCTGTCTCCCTATCCCAACTGAAGTGTTACAGTGAACAATTAATAAAAAGGGGAGCTGGTATGCTGCACATCACTAGCTTTCTGCATTACTTGACTCACAAGAACATCATCCTGAGCCCCAAAGGGAGTCCATAAGGTTTCTTTCTGAATTGGCTTTGAGACTCTGTGAACAGGAAACATTCTGATTGGTGCTAAATGGGTATTTTGTGAACAGGCACACACCCCTTTTGAAAGATCATTCATGACAAATTCCAAATGTGCCTTCTAAACCAAAAAAGACAAGAGCTCTTTGATCTAATTTGAAACAAATTTACAGTGTTGGTTTACAAAGCCAACTTTAATCCAGTGGAACCAAGCTACAAACACAGCAGAGATACTTGCATGATAAATAAAGTGAATAAATAAATAAGGTTTATGGTAATATTAAGAGGAAATGTTTCTAGATGTTAATCTTCTGCTATAATGTCTCTTATGTACAGCAGGAGCATGAAAGCTAAACTAAAAAGCTTTCTGTTAAACAAGTGCAGAAAAACTGGGATAATTTCTTCACAGGAAAAAAGGCTGAGGGGGAAGGGAGAAAAAGAAACATTAATCAAACAGAACTACGCTGAAAGTTATTTAAGGCTTATGCAGAGTATTAAGATAGAAATACAAAATAATGAGTCATTCATACATCTACATGATAGGAGCGTGTGTGCATATATGTTGCAACCACTTTCAGTTCATCAACTCATGTTATTCTTGCACTATCACTGTAAAAGTGCTTCAACTCATACTTACTTCCCAGTCCAGAACTCACCAGTATCTACACCAGTGTTTCTCAACCTTGGCAGCTTGAAGATGAGTGGACTTCAACTCTCAGAAATCCCTAGCCAGCTTATGCTGGCTGGGGAATTTTGGGACTTGAAGTCCACACATCTTCAAATTGCCAAGGTTGAGAAACACTGATCTACACTGCAGTATTTCTACTGAAAATGTCAGCCCAACATCCAGTCCACCCATCTCTTTTTACCCACTCCCCTCTTTCTCTCAGACAGTAAGATAAAGCAGGGAGGGACAGGGAGGCCATGAATATTCCACAGAGGGAATACAAAAGCGGGGGACTGTTTCTTGTAGTTGTCTCATGTTGAGGGTTAAAAATCTCTACCTACCCTTGGAAACCCAACTAGCTGCCTATATCCAAGGTTCTTTTTGGAAACTCCCCATCATTTTATTCACCTGTTGTGCAAACTCATAAATATCTGAAGAGGACCCTATAATATCTATGTGAGTTGGATAAGGTATAATCAAAACATTTGGAAACTTCTTGTTCACAAGCTCACAAGCCTGCTCGTGTTCCTGTTTTTCTGTTCTGGTGGGCCCTTTCCGAAACAATCTTCCCTTGCGTAGAGAGGAATGCAGTTCTGTCAGCAATCCTTCAATTGTATTTTTGGCATGCTCTAACTGGCTAGAGTCTGATTTTGCACTGCTGTTACAGAGATAGATAATGGTAACCTCACCATCTACAGATTCATAACTGGTAACACCATATTTTTCTAGATTCTTTTGATAGAGTTTGCTTTTGAACTTTTTCATATAGTGATATATATCAGTATCAAGAGCAATAGTTAGTCCTTCCTCACTTGGATTTTCAACAGTGCCGTTTCTTGACTTGAAGGGTAATCCATGGTTTCTTGGTTTCATTCTGGATCTGTTATCTGGCACCCTTCCTTTTCTCTTAAAGGGTTGTTCTAAAAAGGAACGTTTTAAAATCAATGCAAGTTTATTTTGGAGAATCTTGATATCTGGAAATGGCCCCTGCACAGTTATTTGCCTAGTTGTGTGCAATGGTCCAAAGCTCAAATTGGGGAGATTCTCTTCAAGTTTTTGTACCAGGTCTTCCAAGTTGCATCTTTCTTCAAAACTGGACAAATCGAGGGTGCATGTTACACAGGTGAAAACCTAAAATTGCACAACAAACAGAATTTTTAACTGAAAAACAGTACCAAGATTTTAGGTTACAGCCACAGATACAGTACGTATTCCTTCATCCAAGCTTCCTTAAATTGACTGCTCCCAACTCCCTGTTTCTTCAGTTCATTCTTCTCTATTGTATATTAGATGGAGCTTTACAGCCAACAGAGCTACATTTTTCTATTATGATTGTACTAATAGGCTTTTAACTTTTATATAAAAGACTTGGAGTTAGGGCTGACCAGTGAGTGGGACATGTTTGCGAATAATACCAAAGTGTTCAGAGTGGTAAAATTAAAAATGGAAGCTCTCAATGGATCTCTCCAAAATGAGTGAATGGGCTTCAAAATGACAAAAGCAGTTCAATGTAAGCAATAAACTGATGCTTGCTGGCATTAAAAAAAAACGAAAAAGTACTTCATTTATACATTACTGGGACCTGAGAAATCAATAAAGGAATGGTGGGTGGTTCATTAAGAATCTCCACCCAACATGTGGTGGCTGTAAAAAAAAAAAGTGAATTCCATGCTTGTCATTAGGAAGGGAACTGAAAATAAAACTGCTGATAGAATAATTTCCTTGTATCAATCTACAGTGAGACGATGCTTGGAATATTGTTTATGCTTTGGGTCACCACACTTTAGAAACATGTTAAGACTAGAAAAGATGCAAAAAACAAAACAAAACAAAAACAGGGGCAGCAAAAGGAAAGACTACAGCAACTACATCTGTTAAGCTTGGAAAGCAGGATAGTAAGGAGAAACATGACAGAGGTGTATAAATGATGCATGGCATAAACAACAACCAGACAGAGATGTTTTTCTCCCACGCGTACAATGTTAGAACTCGAGGTCATCCACTGAAACTAAATCCAGGGCGACTCAGGAGAAACAGAAGGGATTTTTTTTTTCATGCAGCACATACAGTTACACTGTGAAATTGGCTGCCAGCAATTGCAGTGAATTTAGGTGGTTTTAAAAGGATTCATGGAGAATCAAACACTCAACAGCTAGTAACACGGATGGCTATTTGCTACCTCCTGAATGGCAGGAAGCATGCCTTGATTTGTGGTAGTTGAGAAGCAACAGTAGAAGGGGCCGCTGCCCTCCAGCTCAGGCTTCATAAATGCATCCAGCTGGCCACAGTATGTTATACAATGTTGGATTAGATGGTCCTGTGTCCTGATCCAGTAAAGCATTTCTTAAGTTCTTTTGGCTGAATCTGATCTTATAGCCTTCTACAGAGTCCAGCCTGCTCCAATGAGGATGGAAAAGTGGAGAGGTGACAAAGGCAGGCAGGCAGGCAGGCCCCAGCTGTTCAGACTTTGACCATTCTGTTGAGGGGAAGATCTGAAGGTGCTTCTATACACGGGCAACCAGAGGCCCTCGCGCAAGCAGACTGAACATCTCCTGAGGCTTATATATTTGCTATAGCAGATAACCATGCTTAGCCTTCTATGCAGATATGCCAAATAAATATGGCAAATAAATATGGCATGCAAATGCAGCATATGCTTGTGTATTCAGAAAAAGATATCCCATATCAGGGTATTCCCCTTTAGGGATCCTAGCCAAACTGGACAAAATCAAATAAATGGTAAAATGTCATTCTCCATCACTCTGCCAGCTATTGAAATGAGGATGTTCTCTTTTTGTCCCAGGATAACAATGTGACCAAAACTAGAAAGAGATTGTAACAAGAAAGAGATTCTTATTCAAAGACTTTCTTTTATGACTTTATATTCAAGTGCATCTGCTTAATAATGTTATGCATTTTGTTTCCTGTATCAGAACTGTTTCACATTGCTTTCACTTGAATATTTTACCCTGAACAAGCCACAGGTAAATCAGTAGATTTGCTCAAATGAAAAGAATATCTCATATGAGCTGCAAATAATACCAACACTCTGAGTGTGGCCTTAATTCTGTGTAATTTAATCGCACATGGAAATCAATATGCAATACTTCAACTGACAATTGATGGCTGTGCTTGTGCACAGATCCTCAGCAAATTCTGCAACAGTTCTGCCTTTACAGCAGCATAGCTTGCTTGCTTAAACCACTTGGGTTGATTTTGATTAAACCCATTACGGATCCTATAAGTATCTCTGGAATTATGCCCTTTGAACTTTCCTTTTTGAAAAGGAATGTTTGGCCCCAGAAGTTCCAAGCTCAGCTAAATTAGATGACATCCCAATCCCCATCTTTTTATGACCAGTTAAAATCAAAGGAAATCTATTTGAAACATGCTGATCGTGACAGGAATGCAAGACAAAGCAAAGGTAATCACTTCCTGACGTGAGAATTACTAATCACATAATGGCCACATCAAAGTCAGTGCAGGTAGATTCCCCCATTAAACACTAAGTTGTAATAACTTACACTTCCTCCATATGGTGATACTTTGAGGAAAAAAGCCTTATGCAGCCTCTTGTCTTCTAAGATGAGTTTGCCTTTCCTGAGCACATTCTCTGCAACTGAAAAGAAATTCAGATTTTCTTTTGTTAACCTGCCCCATCCCCCACCCCGCCATCAGCACACCACACACAAGATATATGCACGCTTTGATGGCTGGGATACCACATTAGTATTCCTCCTTTTCCCCATAATTTCCCTGTTGGATTCATCCCACAACTGAACATTGGATCCTGATACTGTATGGATTGCACAAGATTGTTCAAGGGAGAGAGAACAGCCTGTCTCTTCACAAGATTAACTGGTAGCAATTGGACTCCCCAAGTTTTGGCTGCAATTTTTTCATCTGCCAGGCAGCTGATACTTTTATTCTTGTGCAAATACTTTCAAACCCCACACAAATACTCTCTTACTCTCTCTTCAGCCTGTTTGCATTTATGTCTGACGAGTGACTGTAAATCCCACAGAGAGAGATTTAAAGGCGTAAGAAGGTATCCCAAGACATCTAGAATGCAGGAGGCAAAAAACATGAATTCTGTTTTATGGTTAATGATCAAATGTGCTATTCCCTATTACCTTGTTTATCCTCAAATGTTATATATGCCACTCCTTTTGTTGATATAGGGTAGTCTATGTCCTCCACATCTCCACCGTTATTCTTTGTCTTCTGAAAATTAATCATTAGGATGTCAGCCATTATGTCCTCACTTAGAAGGCCATCTGGGATACCACAGACCACAACTGTTCTTTCGGGCTTGGCAGACCGTTCAGTAGCCTGTGGAATATACACACCACATCTTTTCAAAGGGCAAGAGAGGTCCTCTTCATCCATCTTGCACAAAGACCCCAAGCATTCTTTGGGGAATCACTTTCCAGCCTTGCTGAAAAAGCTGACCCCATTTCGCTACAGTAATGAACAAATATTTTATGTATCAGTGGATAGGCTATCACTGGTACAAGTTAATTTTGATTACTAATACACCTGATTTGGAAGTTTTCAAGAAATAATGCAAAAAAAAAAAAGTTACAAAGGATTACAGGTTATGTATGTATGTATACATAAGGTATGCATTTATATAGAATCCAGCAGGCAATGTCTTGCAACAATCTTAAATGCAGAGCAGCCAGAAATCTGATTATCAATACCAAGAGCAAATGGGCTATGCTTCAGTATTTGTTCTGGTTTATATTTTATTTTTGGTATACTTATATCCTGCCCTGCCTCCAACAAGAAAGGAGGAGGTTTGGCTGAGAAACAGTAGCTAATCTCAAGCGAGCCAGTGGCCTTCAGATTTGAGGATTTAAGGCTGAGTGTCTCCAGTCCTAATCCAACACTCCAAATGTTATTCCACCATGGCTCTCAAAACTGCTTTCCTGAGAAATTATGTTATATCACAGCAGGATGTCTTAGACTCACTAATTAAATTAAAAGCTTGTTACTGACATGTTCATATTAAATACAGTCAGGTCCAGAAATATTGGGACATCAACACAATTCTAACATCTTTGGCTCTAT